AATGTCAATCGCTATCTACGGTCCTCCTGATTACTCTTTTTTTGTTCTCACCCCTTGGTAATGTTTCTGTTTTCTAATTCTTCTACACCCAGTAAGCTGTGTCTTAATGACTTTACTCTCTTGCTTGAGGTGAATTTAATTAAAAAAAAATATTTTTATCTATGGTTTGCATGTGAACAGTCACACAAGTGAAAACTAGTAAATTGTCTACACTTCATATGAAATTGTCTACGCTATTATTATTTTTAAATTAATCTGAAGAAAAAACAAAAAAGAAACAAACTATACTCTTGTCATTCCAGCTTAGTTAATCTCTGACTCTGGTTAATGGCTGTGTTTGTTGAGAAATAAAGACTCTAAAACTAATAATTGTCTAAGTATCTATTATACTGATCAGTGTTTCATGCCCTATGCCTGTGTATATTTCTGTTTAATTTAGGCACTTGTCTTTTTTTCCTTTTTTTGGAGTTTTTATTATTTTACTCTTTATAGAAAATGAGATATAGGACATGTACAGGATAATAACAGTTAAACAAATATATGAGGTTGAAATTATTTTATGGAAAGAAAATTTTATTTAAATTCCCTCAGCCTACAGAGAAATTTCTTTGCATCAGAAAAAAATCTGTGTCTGAACACTTAACAGTATTTCTATTTCAGCCTTGCCTTACACTTTAGACCATTTTTATATATATTTTTTTTTCTGCTGCTGCAGACATTAATCAAGTGTAGACAAGGAGTGGCTGGCAAGTAGGTCTTTGCCTACCTACTGCAAAGTGAAAGACTCCCTTATCATACATAATACAATCCCAGGCTATCCACCCATGTTAAGCGTTGTTTGGCAGCTGATGTTAAAATTAATATTTTTCAGCTACTGTCTTGGATCTTTATTGAGTTGAGTTACTTACTTTTTTAGAATTTTCTTAAAAGTATCTTGTTCTTTTGGGAGTTCATTATTTAAATTTGTTTTACTATGGTTTTATTGGTAGATTTGTTTTTCAATGCTTGCATTAAAAATGAAATATTGCTTAATAAATTTCTTAAGAGTAAAATTCCATATAAAAAAGCAAGCCTAACCAATAAGAATAAAACAATTCTTGATTAGCAGTTTAAATTATTTGCACTGGACCATTTTAAACTAAATTCCTTCATGTTGATAATTTAGCTTAATAGAAAAAATAATCATTTGGTTGCTACAGCTTTATTTTGTTTACTTTTATATCAAACTTTAAAAAATAATGAAATATATTACTTTTAATTTTAAAAATATTTATATATATTAATACACCATAGATCTGGAGATTAACAGGATTGTATAAATAAACTAATTTATTTAAAGTATAAAGTGGCTAAACTACATTATATTTTTTCTTAGGATCTGTTAATAATAATAAGTATAATATAACAAGAGAGGAATAGCTTATTAGATAAGATCTCATTTTTATTAAAGTAATAGAAGAATATAAGGACAAGTAATTGCTAGGTAAACTTGATATATTTAGGAATGACATTAGAATAATCCAGAACTTATACTGCAAGCAAACTGCCTGCATATGGATAGAAAATGAATTCAGTGAATATACAAAAATACAAATGTATTTTCTTACCAGATTTATTCAACTTATACAGTCAAGAGATTATAAGAGGATTAGAAGTCCTACCAGGATTCATTATTGTTGGCCACAATCTTAATGACATTAGATATGCAGATGACACATGTAGCAGACACAGAAAGCAAACTAAAAGAACTCCTACAGAAGGCAATGAAGGAAAGCAAGAAAAAAGGACTAAATATCAACTATAAGACAATAGAATGTATGGTTGTTAGCAAAAGAATCAGCCCAACATACAAATTACAAATTGGAGATACGCAAATTAAAAAGCGCAAAAATTTAAATATCTAGGAAGTTTTTTTTTTTAACAAAGGATGAAAAATGTGACACCAAAATCTGAAGATATGTTTGGATAGCAAAAGATACCTTCCAAAAGCTAAGTAAATCATTAAGAAACAAGAAAATTTTGTTAGAAACAAGGAAAGAGTACTCAACTGATATATAATATTGATATGGCAGTGAACGCTGGACAATCTACTCAAAGATGAAAAGAGATTTGTGGCAACTCCTATGGAGTGAAATTCAAGAGTAACCAACATTTACCTGTTGCATCTTCAGAGCCATCATAGTGTTTTTATACAGTATCTTTATGCAGTGACAGGAGATGGAAGATGAATGACAGTCATTTGAAGTAGTGCGTCACCAGCTAGCAACCACTTATGCATCATTAACTTAAGCAATTATACTTTGAATCAGAAAGAGAGAGTTGAAATTTCTAGAGCACATAACGTGAAAGAGGGCTTAGAAAATTTGATACTCACAGGACATAGTGAAGGCAGGAAGGAAAGCAGTGTATAGCCTACTTAATGAGCTTGTTTAAATGGCTGGCAGAACAGGGATTAAGAGATAGCAAAAAGACTAATTTTATTAAGAGCTACAATGGACAGAAAATTGTAGAAAGCCATGATTGCCAACATCCTGAAGGGAAGCAGTACATAGAAGAGGAATATCTTAGATACACTTGTGAGATAAATGTAATTAAAAAATAAAAAAACAGGAAATGGCAGTGGTAGCTTTATTTTCTACTTGAATGTGACCAAGTAGGGATTTTGGGGAGTAAGCATTTTTCATATGCGTGATTATGGAAATTATTCCTTGGTAGAATGTAGTAATATACCTGTATTAATCTGTTTCATGTTCCTCACTGACCACCTACAGATATTTAATTAATCCTAAGGCACGAGGTAATTTACATGACTATGTATGGCACAGGCAGTTTTGTGCCTCTTTTGTTGGGGAGATAGGACATGTTCACTACATCCCCCCTTTATCTCATGATCACATAGATAGCACCTAGTGGGGAGGTCTCTTGTGTCTGGTACTTCTCTGAAGTGTTGGTACAACAGGCTCACTTGCCACCTTCAAAAGTTTCTGCTTCAACTTGTTGATCCTCTTCACCTTCACCTCCACTCAATTGATCAGTCACCATCAGTTGAATGGTTGTCCTCATCATTCACCATCAGTAGACACATTCCATCATCCCTTGATGTGGCAACCTCAACCTCCACAGGGTCACCCACTACTTGACGGAGATGGCAAAGGTCACTCTCATAGTGCAGTATTCCTTCTATGTAGACTGCCTGGAGACTCAAGATTCCAGTCACTGTTCCTTTTCTATATTTATTCATGCATCTATTGGGTGATATTTATACCAGCACAACATCTCCTTTTTTATATATTCCCTGTCTAGGTTGAGCCTCCAGTGGTGCAATGTTATCAACACTTTTCACCTGAACTTTGTAGGAGTACAATGCATTGGCTGGAGTAGTCTCACTGTGAACACCATCCTTTGGTGTAATATTGTATCAGTACACTGCTTTCTGGACAGAGCATTGCTGCCTGGCAGTGATCTGCTTTATGGTTCTGTATGAATGTTCATATGCATATTGGAATCACAGACTGATGCCCCAATCATCATCAAATATCCTGAAATTCCTGCTGTTAAATGCTATGCTGTTGTCTGTCAAGATCTCTTCAGGTGGCCCCCTTTCAAGAAAGATTGCCATGAGACACTGGATTACAGTGGCAGAAACTTTTCATGCTAAGGGTAGCAAAATGGCAAACTGGGAAGGCCTCACAGTCTATGAGGGTCAGTTAATGGATGCCTCAATAATGTGTGATGTCCATCCCCAGTCTTTGTCATACACCTGCTATACCCTCTCTGCCATTTGATTGGTGCTGGATCAATTGATTGACATTCCAAACAGGATCTAACAGCTGATCTGACATACTCTTTTGGTTGTGGATGAGGTGATCTTCTTAATGAAGTAGGTTGTTTGTCTAACACCATGATCTCCGCTGTGCAGGTATATTTTCTTAATCTGGCATAACTCCATTCTGTTACCGAACAGTCTCCAGAGAGTAAACATCATGCCACAAATTTTTCATATGCTGTAATTGAGTCTGTCAAAGGTTGTATACAGGGCTTCCCTTATGCAGTTGAAGTCATTTTTTTTCTGTCTTCACTCAACTGCTGATACATTGCATACTGTCAGGCATATTGGGACTACAAATTTGATCCTTTTCACTGCAGACAGCTGACATATCAATTCTGCCTTCTCTATCCATTCAACAACAGATTGTTCAGGATCAGAGCTGCCAAATTCCAGTATTAATTTTGGGTCAAATCAATTGGTTGAGGTACCAAAATAGCTTGTAGTAATATATCTGTATTAATTTGTTTCTTATTCCTTACTGCTATGTCTTTGTCCTTGAACATCACAGCTGGCTCATTCAAATGTATTCCTTTCCATCTGTAATGTTTGTTTTTGCCAAAGAAAAAAATCTGATAGCTTTTGTGTGCTTCAGTCATTTATGCAGATTTTTTTTCACATCCACCTACAGGTATTTAATTAGTCCTAAGGCACTAGGTAATTTACATAACTGTGTATGGCACAGGTGATTTTGTGCCTCTTTCATTGGGGAGATAGGCCATGTCCACTACAGCTTAATGGCTTAAAAGCAACTTTTTTTTTCTTCCTAAATTGATTTAACATCTCTTTTATTAACTGTTAGGAATCATATGTACCATAGTCTGGTGATCAGATGACACCCATGTTTGTTTTTTTTTTTTTGTTTTTTTTTGTTTTTTTTGGTTGAACTTTATATTATCAGTAAATATTGGCTTTACTATAACTTAAAAACCATTCAAGAATTTATATTTTAAGGATCAAAATAAACTTTGAGATATTGTATATCATGTTTCCATTTTTTGTTTTATATCTTCATAAACAACCTTGAATATAAATAGTTCTCATATTAAGGGTTGAATTTAATTTAGGAATCCAACTTTTAAATATTCAAAGTAAATTAATAATTTCAATTGAAAAACAGCAGCATAACTGAATTTGAACCAAAATAGATTAAAAATATTTTTTTTTTCTGCAGAATATGGAGACCTTAACCATTGCTGCTTCTCAAGAGAATGGCCGAAGCATGCTAGCCAATTTTGATGTGGAAAAGAAGATTGGAAAAGGCCAGTTCTCGGAAGTTTATCGAGCAAGATCAAAACCAACAGGCAGTGTGGTGGCATTGAAAAAAGTTCAGGTAATTAGTTAACTATTGATTTTTTAACATCTACAAATTAATCAAAATTTTACCATGTGATATATATGTGTGTGTGTACAGAAAGGTTAATAATTTGTTATGCAAAATTGGAACTTTTGATGAGTTTGATTGGTTGTAAGATGAAGTTATGCAAATTGACTGCTTGGAATGTAATTAGCAGACTTGAGACATTGTAGGACATGATAAAGCAGCCATTGTTAGTTGTTGTTGTTGTTGTTAGTTTCTCAGCAAAGTAAAAAAAAAAAGAACTAAGTGACTGTGTTAAAAAATAAAAGTTTTCTGCTCAGATTAAGATTCTGACCATCACTGACACAGATTGTTTTTCAAATTTGATACACTTATAGAGCTTCATAATACAAAGTGAATGGTGCCTATTTTACATCTCAAGGTCAAAGGGTTCCTGAGATATGACTGTTTGATCTTTGTCAAAAAGGTGAATTTTGGAAAAAAAAAAAGTCAAAAAAATTAAATATCTCGGTTGTTTTTTCATCTACAAAACTAAATTATATACCATTTTAAAGTACTTGTATAGAAAATGTGATCTGTTTATTCTTTTGTTTAGAGATTAAATAAAATAATTTGACCATTTTAACCCTTAATTTCTCAAAAAGCATATCTTTAATTTTTTTAAATTTGACAAAAAATTTGTCTGTCTTATGGCAAGATATGTACAAGATTTTGTGTTGGAATTTTTGACTGTGGCCTGGGCTGCAAGGGTTTTATAGAGTTGGGCCAAATTCAAAATAGCAGATTTTGGCATCTGCCACTATATGCTAACATTTTCATATCTCCCAATATGGTCAAGTTATATATCTTTAGAAAGCTCTTTGAATGATGATTAATGTTCACATAAGAACCGTGGTCATACAATCAACATAATTTGTGGTCAAATGTTGACCAATTTGGTGGAAAATAAACAACCTTATTTTTGGTTTTGTTTACATTTTTATTATACAATAAATAAATTTTTATAGGAAAAAGTGACATAATGAAAATAATTATTTAAAGTGTCATGAATTAATGTTAAGATTACATAAAATGTAAAAATATGCAACAAATGACATCAATGGTTAACAAATTGAAAGTACCACTCTGCAAAATACCAAAATATAGTCTTATGGTTGCAGAAAATGATAATTTTTATGATGTGAAGCAGTGCCATCAGAGAAATAGAGCAGTTTTTTTTTTTTTTTTTTTCAGTATTTCTGTACCCTTTCTTTGGGACAAATGGATATCAACAGTGTTATGTTTGAGACGTTCTGATATAATTACAAAATCTCTGTCATTTCTGTAGTAGTAACAGACAAATTAATATAATGTGGCTTGAGCATTTTTCCAGTGGAAGCCTTGTGCAGCATCCTGCAAAATAAATGAATAATTCTCAGCAAAATTTGCAATAACTATGACCTCCACCATCCATCAAAGAACTTTTATTACAACCAAATTTTGATTGTTCTTTGGCCATGAAATCATGCTTCTTCAAGGTTTGAAGGTCTGCATGAAAAATTTCAATAAATTCCTCTGTAGATTGTGATATAGTTTACAGTGTGTTTCTGTCAGTTGATAGCCACTGTTTGTGTATCAGATAATATATTAAATTTTGATTTAGAATTTCTTGTGTGAAACAAAATCTTCCATAAGATTGCTACAAGTTGAGAGTCACCCAAGTAGCAGTTAGATGTTACTTCATTGGATGTAACAGCAGCTATGAAGTGGTGGTAATCTGTTAAATTATATTGTTCACCTTGAGCCCCAAAATCATCAGTTTCATATTTTGATGTATTGTGCAAATGCAGACACCGTGTTCCAGTGTTCAGATACATTCTTTATTTCTGAGCTCAACAAATTTTGAAAAACTATTTCTGTTTGGATTCTTTGATTTTAAATAATTAGCATGCCTCTTTTAGGTTACCAAGTACAAGATATTTTTGTTCCTGAACTGTTCTACCATTCTTTAAGATAGTCTTATAATCATTCTTCCAGGCATCACTCTGCTGATTTCTTCACTAAGTTATACAACAGTACAATTTCATCAATTGTCTCTTGTGGTAATCTACATTTTTATGTCTTTGGTAAAGTTAACATTCCTTGTTCATTTACAAGTTTTTTTACTTTACTTGCCATGTAAGTTGTAGTGCCAAATTCCATTTAAATTTTTAAATACTTCAGCTTTTTGGAAGTATTGTCAAAATTTGTACTTTTTGGGACCTCTTTTCACAAGCTGCAAACTTTTCTTTTGTGTAATTTTGCTTTTATCAGAACTTTTATGCTCTTTTACACTGGTAGATACTTGATGAGAAATTTTAGTCAAAATTAGTTTAATTTTCTATGATACTGCTCCTTTAATTTTTCCTATTTTTTCCTCATAACTGGTTTGTTTTTCAAGTTTTTGATGCTTAATTGGTGAATCACCAATTATTGACAGTGACTCATTAAGGAGTTGCAATTCATTTTCAGTATCTACAAAAATATCAGCCTGGAACTATCCGCTGATCCTAGCCAAGTTATTTAACTGCTGCTTGAAGGAGAAAATCCTTCCCAAGCCTGTAGAAAGTATCAAGCATATGCCCAGTCTTCAAGAATATGGGTGAGATCTTCTCCCTCCCAGTATAGACCCATCAGTCTTCTCAGTGTCATCAGTAAGCTTTTCGAGGATATAATCAATGTTTGTTGAGCACCTAGATGAGAACAACCTTTTGAGTAGTGAGTAGTACAATTTTCAATCGGCCCAATCCACTATTGATGTCCTAACTACCATTTACTCACAGAATTAGTGAAGCTCTTAACAGCAAACACACCATGAGGACCATAGCATTAGATATTTCAAAGGCATTGGACAAGGTGTGGCACAAAGGTTTGCTGCTCAAGCTCTCCATGTATGGAATCTCTGATAGGGTCTCCTTAATTATAAAGTTCTACCTAACGGGTAGACCCTGAAGGCAGTTATTAATGGCCAGTCCTATGAGACACTGGTGGTCAATGCAGGTATCCCCTGGGGTTCCCTTCTTGGACCAATCCTCCTTTTGCTTTACATAAATGATCTGCCTTAGAATATATTCAGATCATTTGTGAATATCTATGCTGATGATGCAATGATATATGGGTGCACCTTCCAAAACTCTTGATCAGAGATTGGCAGCTGATTTCTCATCTGATCTAGCAGTAACTTCTCAGTTAGAGAAAAACTGACTGGTTACATTTAATGCCTCAAAAACCAAACTAGTTACATTCTATCATTGTCAATTGGACCCCAAACTACCACCAGCCTCAATAAATGGATGACCTTTCTGGGAGGCTATTGGGCCTTAAACTCACACCTGACCTCTAGTAGAACTTGTACATATGTAAAAGATGCAGGAAAAATGGTTGGTTCCCTGTACCGCATCAGTAAGTACTTAAAAACCAAATGCTATCCTCTACAAGAGCCAGATCAAGCCTAAAATGGAGTACGGTTGTCTATCTTGCCCAGTCCTCACACTCTAGTCTCAGTAGAGTTCAAAACTGTCTCAGTCCTTGTAGGTGACAAATTATTTTCCACCCTGCAATCTCTCTCTCACAGGTGGGATGTGGCAAGCTTCTCACTACTATTGCTATTTCCATGGAAAGTGCTTAGACAGACTACATACTTTGGTTCTGCCAGATCTAATCTTCATGTCTAGGACCTGCCATGACACTCACATTGTAACAAACCATCCACAGTGTTCTATTGGTGAGAAGTAAGTTCCACTCAAACAGCTTCTTCCCATGAACCACTGTTCTGTGGAACTGACTCCCAGATAGATATTTTCCCAATCACTACAATCTTAACTTGTCTAAGTCTAGGGTTTACTGCTATCTTCCTCTCCTATCTGCATAAACTGCCTCTTAATGTAAACCTCTACCTTGAGTCACCTCCAGGCCTTGTATAGGGCAAACTCTGTGGCTAGTCTACAGTTGTGTTTGAAATACTTTCAGAAAACACTGTTAATTTTATTCAAAAATGGGTGCAAATTATTTTTACCAGGGATCAATTTAACTTTTTTGATTTCATCAGAAAATAAAAACAAAACTAAAATGTGTTGTGCATTTGTTAAATATCAATGAAAGTTTGTTAACCATTAACATCAGTTGTTGCATATTTTCATGTTAGTTTACGTAATCTTAACATTAATTCATGACACTTTTTTAAAATATTTATTTTCATTATGCTGCTTTTTCATATAAAAATCAATTTGTATAGTTGCATACAACAATGTTCAATACTAAGGGCAGTTGATTGACAAGGAAAAAATTTCCACAACTTAATAACAAAGATTTTGATGATAAAACTTTGTTTTCCTCAAGTTTGGGTTATTTTTTTCATTGAACTCATGGATGTCCATGAAATGGTTAGTGTTTTCTCAACAGTGACCAGCATGGAGTGTGCAGATATTGATTAGACAAAATATACATAGGCAGATACTCACTTGTCAAGCCGGTTATATAAGAAAACAGCAGAACATAAAACTATTATGATAATTGATATAATATCCATTTGTCCATTAGGCCTATGTTCATTTATTTATCTCATTCTTTAAAATACATTCAACTTAATTTCTTGACTGAAGAGATTGGTGATTATCATTGAAAATGTTTACTTATTTATTTAAACAAAGTTACTTAAACCACATTTAAATACTGTTATCACAGTGTCTAGCATCCTTTTAAACATCTTTTTAACTAATTTCCTTATGATTTTCATACATACAGGTTACATGGAAATTAGGAAAATGTAATAAATACAATAAAGGGATTATTTTGAAATTCTTTTAGCAGGACTTTGCAAATTAAGATTTAGTTTTTGTTTTCTATGGAAAAGAATTCTAATTAATTCAGAATCCAATTTTCATTTACTTTAATTCTTTAAATTTTTGAGGGAAAAATAATTTAAATGAAATGTATAAAATTTTGAGAATTCTAATCTAAACAGTTTTGAAAAATTATGAACTCATTAGGAAATCTTATATTTTAATGAAACTTCTGACAAATTACTTCTTTGAATATATAATGATATATAAAATTACATTTAAAGATTTTTTATGACATGATTGCATTTTTCCATTTATAGATTTTAAGGTACTAATTGTTATTGGTAATTTATAGTGTATAATGTCACATGGAAAATGTAATTTTACTATACAGGTAATTGCCAAATTCAAAAGCGATTCCATTTTGATAATCTCATCATAAATCAGTTCTACCTTAAGTTGAACACTTCCTGTAGCAAGTTATAATAGTATTGACATGAAACATAAGTATCTTTTTAAAAAAATATGTTTTTGAGGTCAGAAAACTTAAACAGCTATAAAATGGCTTTCATGAAGATATACTGCCAAATATATACATACAGGGTCACAATTAAGTGGATAGTGAACAAAGCTGAGATAAAGCCAGAAATCTCTCATATGCATGCTAAGCTATACTGCATCCATTATCATCCAATCTCCTCTCCAATATAAACATTTCTAGTACACCAATATTTGGTAATAAATACAGGTCATGACTTGCATGGATATTTTTCTTTTTACTCCTTAAAATATTTTTGTAAATGAATGGAATTAATAAGAAATGCCATTCAAATTTTGAAAATAATATAATTGAAGATAATTGTTTTCTTTTCAGATTTTTGAAATGGTTGATGCGAAAGCAAGACAAGATTGCATTAAGGAAATTGATTTATTGAAGGTGAGCTAAAATCTCAAATATTATTTAGAATTTAATGTGTATGTTTTTTGCTTTTTGTTTTTTTTTTTTAAATTCTATGTGTTTAACTTAAATAGTAATTCCTTACGATTATATTACTTTGTAAATTAAAGATTATTGGACATTACTAAAAACCTTTTTGTGTATCATTTCTATAGTAAAATTGATTTTCTTATATATTATGAAAAGTTGTAGGTTTGAATAAATGGAAGAACATTGAACTTGTTTGTTGAGTCAGTTACTTATTTCTGAAATGCAGGAATTATACATATTTTATTTATTTTTTTCAAGAGTAAGCATGCAAATAGAATTAAATACAATTTAAGATTTGTGAGTGGGGATTCTTTGTAGAAATTCTAATTTATATAGCTTTATGTTCTTTGAATTATTTTTTTTATTTAAATATTTATTATTTTAAATACTGCCTCCTTGTCATATTTTCTGAATAGTAATGTTGTTCAGTCTTGTTTTTTACCTGATTTCCTCAAAGATTTCAAAATTGAGTTTTTGACAAAGTTTAATCTTTGGACCTGCAAAAAAAAAAAGAAAAAAAGAATGGTGTGTCAAAAAGACAATTTTTCTCTTGACCCCAATGTTACTGTGTAATCTTCAAACAACAAATAAACATAATATTGCTAATTCTCTCAGCAATGTTTATTGTCTTTAAAAGTTATGTTTAGAATTTTACAAACCAAAAAGATTTTACACACTATTTAATTGTTAGATTGCTTATTAACAAGATTATAAAAATGTGAACCAATGATAATATAATATTTATTATTTACCATTTTATAATAAAATAAATATGAAAACAAATTTTTCATTCATAAATTTATAAAAATTTACAAAATTATAAAAATATGTGAATCAACTATAATGAAATATTTATTATTTTATGAAGAAATAAATATGAAGAGATTTCTTTTTATTTATAAAGTCTGAGCAAGAAAATTTAAATAAACACATTATGATGAATAACTGTAATTATGAATTAAATAACATTTTCTGTACATTTTTTTCATTTGCTCTTGCCACATAAATTCACTAAAATAGGTGGAGAGCATCTCCTCCTCTAAACCAAACATTTTTTTTTTAAATTTTAGATTGTAGGCAAGGCCACAAACAAATTTTTAGTATGAACCTCCCTATTCTTTGGGTGATCAAGATTTTCCTTGTGTATATTTACAAAATATATATAATTTTTACTAAGTATTTCTATTGATTAGTCATCCTAAAATCACAATTATACAAGAAAAGAAAATTGGAAAAATTAAAACAAGAAGTAATCTGATATACAAAATAACCTGAGTAGAAAATGTATGTCCAGAAAATTAATGTTTATTTAAATTTTCTATAGTTCAGGCATTTTTTAATAAAAAGATTTGCTTTTATATTTATTTATAAAATGGAAAATAATAGGTAACAAATATTACATGTAGTTGTTTCACATATTTTTATAATCTTGTAAATATAAAATGAATCTAAATAAATAATTAAACAATTAAATAGTCTGTAACATTTTTGTTGTTATTAAAATTCTAAACATAGCTTTTTAAAACAAACATTGCCAAGGGAGTCGATTGAGTATACAGTAATAATGGTGTCAAGAGAAGAACCATCCTTTTGATATCAATTTTTGTGAGTCTGTTAAACTTTGTCAAGATTTTTTGTTTTTAATTTACATAATTCTTTATTCATCCGTTGACTATTCCATGAAACTTGCAACTAAAGAAAAATATCAGATTTTTGGGTTTACATTAAAAGAAGCAGGAGGTAGTTGATACCCTGAATTCATCATCACAGACACAAATTATATAGAGGATGTTGAATAAACCCAACAATTTCTTTACAGATTAAAATCTACTGCAGCACAAAATGAAATTAAAACAGAAAGCATGTTTTTTTTGGTTTTTTTTAAAATTTTTTTTTTTTCATCAAGAAAAAGGAGATCACATAATATTCAAAGGAGATAATCTAAATCAATTTCTGAAGAGTTAAATGATCTGCTTATATTATGGGAACCAAATTATGTGGAAAGATCAAGAGGTAGACTAGTAAGAACCTTCATTGATCAATTCATAGATAACACTGGAATTGAAAAAGAAGAACTGAGTAGAGCTATGATTGACAGAAATGTTTGGAAAGAAGTGGTCAGAAGTGTTCATCTGAGGACAATTCGATAGATATTTCATGCATTACCCACAGTTAAAAAAATATGGAATGGATTCACCTGTAAAAACAATTAAACTGGATCATGGGATACAAATAAATGTATGTCAGAATTAACTCTAACATATCAGTGACTTTTAGTTTTCTTCTATTTATATAATTTGTTTCTTAAATAATTTGACTATTTTAATATTAATTCCTTTTTATGATAAATTGCTTAATTTCTACCAAGAAAATTAGTTACCAATCTTGTTTTTTTTCCCCCATAGCAACTTGACCACCCAAATGTTATTAAATACCTGGCATCATTTATTGAAGAAAATGAATTGAATATTGTGTTAGAACTTGCGGATGCAGGAGATTTATCTCGAATGATCAAGGTAAGTCCATTGAACACTAGAAATAAGTTGTAAGCATTAGTATTTTCTGTTTTTGGTTTTATAGCCTTGCAAATCTAAGCTTAGTTTGGTATCATTAGTATTAAAAATCCGACCTCATTCAGTGAACATGGAATCCTCAATTTTAAAGGCTAGATCATTTACAAAACTTAAAAAATAATTCCTCTATCTTATCTGTTCACATCCATTTGCCATTTTAGCATTACTTGTGTATTACAAATGATTAATTTCCCATATTGGCTGACAGTTTAATTTTGAAGGCATGATACACTTCTGTTTCAGCCAATCAAAAACTCATTCAACTTTTGCACACTTCATACAAATTCTCATAGAAATTGATTTTTATACTAAAATGAAATTACAAAATGATTCACCAGACAACACTACTATGCACTGAGGTGGTTAAAGCATTCCTTGATATCTGAAGTTCATATAGATATTGCTATATTTTTATTTTGTATTTTGAGTCTCCCTAATAAAAAGAAGTTATGCACCACCATTTTTATTGAGTGGAAATATGGCCAAATACCTCTATCCATTTATAAATGAAGGAATAACTTTCTTTTATTTACATATTGTTTTTAATGCAGAAAGCTGGTATCAATCACCATTGTAACCACTTTGTAAAGGATAAAAAATCAAATGGTAGAAATTGATTGATTTCTTATTTTTTCTGCCTTATCAACCATTTAAAGCTAGAAAATATTTTTGATTGTAGAAGGTTGCTTACATTACCTGGGGTTTCCAAATCCCCCTCCCCCATGCCAACTACTAACCGGGCTTGACTACTTCGGTGATTTAATGAGAAGCAGCATTTTCAGTGTATTTTGATCATAAGCAAATGGTTGAAAGATTCAGTTGTTTAACAGAAAACATGTAAAGAAATGAACTACTATTCTGCCAAAAGTTGTAGACTACTTGACTTCTTTTCTTTTTTTTTAAATGGCATGATCTTTTGACATTGTTTTTGTAGTAAAGATTTATCAAGTTTAAAATTGGTTATTCTTTGAGTTTTACCTAATAATTATAGATGGTTTTATGTTTGAATTTCTGAAGCCTGATAATGTTTTTAAATATTTCATCTGATGTACACACACACCTTCCTCAGGTTTATATTACATTGGTAAATGTTTTTAGTTTTAAATAAAATGCTTTATTTTATACTGGGAGATATGTTATTATTGTTTCCTTTTTGCTTTGTTCTTTCTAAGCTTTCTTTTTATGGTGCCAAACTGCTCTTTTAGCAAGATAGTGTCCTCTTGCACTGCTTTTGCACATGAATGGAATTAATTTAACAAACACAATATCTGTAGATGAGGTAAAATTACTGGGTGTGGCACACACAAACACTCACACCCAAGAACTTGGAAAATTAAATACTTTCAAAAAAAATTTTAAGAAATCTAGAAATGATAAATAATTTTTTTTAATTATTTATCAAAGCCACAAATCTAGGAAAACTTATAAAATGGAAACTAATGGATATAAAATAATTGTTAGCAATAAAGTAACAAAATTTGTATAAAAAAAATAAGCAATGAAACAAAATAAATACAGAAGCCAAAATCATTGCTTTTAAACTGAAATTACATAACAAAATTAAACACTTGGCAAAAATCAAAAATAGATTCCCTTCATTAAATTAAGAGCATAAAGATAATTTTACAACTAAATGTAAATGCAAACTAATAAATCCCCAAAATATAATTTAGGAATAAGTGCATATATATATATATATATATATATATATATATATATATATATATATATATATATATATATATATATATATAATATAAAAAAAAATATATTTAAAGCTAAGTATATATGTAAACCAGTGGAAAAACTACAATTAGTTTAACAATATGAGAAATAATTTTTTTAAGAGAAAAAACATGACATTTTTTTTTTTATTTCTAATATTATTAAACCACTTAATTGTTATTTTTGTATTTTTCCTACTGGTTTATATCTATATAGTTTAAAACATTCAAACAAATTGACATAAAAGATTTCTATCTTTCTATCATGTTAAATAATAACACATTAAATAAATCATTATATTTAGTTCCAAATCCAGGGTCTTCCAACTCTTGTTGGAAGAACCCCTTCTTGATTGACAATGTCTTCAGTGGTGTACCTGTATTCACCACACTTGGCCACTTGTCGGTTGGTGAGGCTATTTAAACTTTAGTTGGGGCTTTTGAATTCAGAGTTGTCCTTCTAGACCACTTACCAGCCAAGGCTAAAGGACCCAGTCTATCCTGCTGTTTACCCATAACTGGGGGTATGAGTAAACAGCTAAATTACATAAATGTTTCTGAAGGTGAAATAAAAATAATGAGGCATTGTAGGATATCAATATTATTCCACAATAAATGCATATAAATAAAAAAAAAAACACAAACTTTGATGTAACTATGAAGAGTTATGACAGATAATTTTGTGAGTTTGTTGGAATTTATGTAATTAATTGTAACTACCTACAATAACTGATAAAAAGACAAGATTGTATACAGATAATGTACTATTAATACTATGAAACTGTACAAGTAGACTCATAGACAAAACCAGAAAAGAAAAATAAATAAGTGAAATGTACAATATGTATACTTTGTGTAAGTGTATATGTGTTGACTAAAACATAGAGGGAAAAGAAATGATGAGAATGTTCCTGAAAATAGCTCTGTCAATAATCATCAACCAAGCAGTTAGGATAAAATCCCTCATTTTTTGATTTTTTCCCTTCTGCTTAAACCAAATTTACAAATGTTAATCTCTCAAAGTATCCTCACCAGCACCAGACTATGACTTCATCTATTGCGATATCTTTATAGAAAATTCTGGAAACACTTTTAAAATGGAATTGGAAGAATTTACTGTTTACTTCTTGGAATAATAATGACCCTTTTTTTGCATTTTATTTTATTTTTGTCAGCACTTTAAACAGCGTAGCCGACTGATTCCTGAAAAAACCATTTGGAAATACTTCATTCAAATCTGTAGTGCCTTGGAACACATGCATTCTCGTAGAATCATGCATAGAGGTAGGCAAACCACTTTAAAATCTGGTTATTTTTAAAGTTAATAAATGAATAACTTAATGTTTTATGTTTATTTCAAGATCACCAGTAAAAAAAAAAATGTTTTTTGATTTGATTAACAAACCTTACCCATTGATTGAATTCTGAGGTTTCCACTTTGTCTTTAATTCCTAAGTATTTTGACTAAAACCTAAACTAAAATTTATTTTATCCTAAATTACAATTTGTTTGTTTATGTTTTGGAAAATACTCAGTTTAAAAATGTAAAATCAAAAAAATTTTAAATGCTTTTTACCCAGAAATTATTTTTAAAATGGTCATCAGAGAATTTTTTAAAAACTCTATACTTAGATTTTCTGTTGCAAATAATCTTGATTCTACTGATATTACACCAAACCTCAGAGTTCCTATTTCCCAAGACAATAATGTCATAAATGTAAATGAATTTTAATTTTCTCATTGCTGTTTATCCTTCAGTATGTGTCTATATTTCTGTACATTATTTACATTATTCGGACCATATTTATTATAACGCTCCAGCCTTCAGGTATTGAACTGAACCCTTTATTTCGCTCTAGTTCCACGTTTAATGGATGTCAGTTATCTCCTGTTAATTTCCCTTTGAAAATTCTCCACTTAACTGGGTATTGAACTCGCCCTCTTTGGGTCCTGTCACTGGATCTAACTAACGCCATTATCCACTGTGCCATGTGTCCTTGAGGACATCTGTGTATGAATTTCTGGGTATTATAAACCTAATGTCTTCAGCAACTATTTTTTACCAGTGCTCATATTGCAATTTTTGCTGTTATTGCATGTTTTTTACCAGAGCTCATATTGCAATTTTTGTTGTTATTATTGCTTTTCTCTGGCACTCCTTATTACTGGTTCCCATATTGTATTCATTTCTATGGGAGACAGGCCGCCCCCTTAAGGTAAGGCTTCAAGAACACCAGAAAGCTGTAACACGAGGGGAAATGGAAAAGTCAGGCATGGCTGACAACATATGGAGAGAGAAGGGAGATCACCACCCTCTGTAGGATCAGGTTGAGATCATAGACAAAGAACACCATTAGAAAATTCATAAACTTAAGGAATCAGCACATATGCTAGGTCACAAAAATCTGAGTTGACTAAGCTGATCCAAGCTGGTTGTTAGTTTCTGGCCACTTCAATCCACATTAATTCTGCCCACATTGTGTTCTTGGTCTCGGAACAGTGGAAGATCAAATTTTGTAGTAATTGTGAAGTGCTGGCTCGAGCCATGTTGGGTTCTATATCAAGAGGAGAAATATCTTCACAACAAAAAATAAGAAAGTTTCATTGGGTCAATCTTCAATTGGTTTATATAGTTCTTGGTACAGCCAAAATTAAACCTTCCTGCATTAATCTCAATAGTGACACTGAATCTTGTCTTCAAAGTTCTTGAGTCAGGAGATCTGGTGGTAGCTGATGTAGATTCCAGAGACACGCAGTGCGGGATTTACAGTGCAAGTCTTCAAGCTCTCAAAGCTATCTGCTTATATGCACTTTGGCCCAAAATTTTCACATTAATCCCAATAAGGGTTCTTTGTTCCTTATATCTGCTTTCTTTGTAAACTTTCCAAATTTGGCAAATTATCCATCTTCTTGAGAGTAGTTACAGGGATTGCTCCTCCCTTAAACTTCAACTTGCTTTACTCTACATCTTGTACCATCACTCCATACAGATGGTGCTAAATTCTCCCTCTTCCGCCTTCCTTCTCAGCATTCAACCTTAGCCTGCTTCCCAGCACAGGCATAACTGTCTTTGTGACAAATCTAATTTTTAAAGTGTGTGTTTGTTTGGGGGGAGGGCTTGGTTTTATTCTAGTCATTAATTTTAATTCTCTTGATTCCTCAAGGAAGAGATAAAATTATTTCTCAATTCCTATACTTATCTCTGTCTATCAAATATAAACCAGATCACTGTTGATAGGACTAGTTTTCCGACATACATTTGACCCTAAGGAAAAAAGTTCATTCTCATTTAAATTTCTGAGCGAGAGACAAAATTATTTCCAAATCTGTTTTTGTCCGCATGCTAGACTCTCAATGGATAAAAAAATAAACTTTGGGAGAGAATTAACATTTAATTACTTCATGGTCTCAGTGTTACCTTGATTCTCTGGTAGACATAAAATATATTAATGATTTAGGCTACAGTTTAAATATTTTCAATATTCTGAGAGGAATCTTTTTTGTTTTTGTGAAAAGCATATTCATTGAATAAATGATTTTTTAATGTTGAAAATGACACTGAAAATCTTCTTTTGCAGATATCAAACCTGCTAATGTCTTTATAACTGCTCAAGGAAAAGTGAAATTGGGAGATCTTGGCCTGGGAAGATTTTTCAGTTCTAAAACAACTGCTGCTCATTCTTTAGGTAGAGACTTGTTTATTTCTTCTATTTCAGAAAAAAAAATGTCTAAAATCTATAAATTATTTAATTTAGGTGAGACTAATTTTAAAAATTTTTCATTTACTAATCTGGCAGTTTGGTTGAATTTCAGTCAAATTTTTACTTCTCAGGAATTTCAACATACATTTTTATTTTTTGATTCATCAAAAAAATTCTAGAATTCTTTGACATTTTATAGTTTGGAGTTTATTACTTTCTTTCTGTGTCTTTTGTCTCACTTTCTCTCTGTCTCTCTCTGTGTCAGCTTTTCATTTCTTTTTCTCTTTCACTTAGTGATTAATCTTATCAAAACTAGACCCACTCTGTTGTTCATTTTCCCTAAAGAGCATGATTAAATTTTTCCCAATATGATCTGTTCTGTCTTGGTAAACACATTTATCTAAATATACACAAAATATTCTTTGCTCACCTCACTTCCCAAAATCTAAGCATTATTTATCATTGTAGCTTTTATATTGTTAAGTGCTTATTTTTAAATTTGTTCCAGATCATTGACTGAAATGGGTCAATGGAAAGTTGAACTCTGTCATAATTTCTGTCTGTGTAGAAAAAAAACTTTAAAGGCTATTTCCAGCCTTGGTTTCCTTCAATGGTCAACTTCTAAAATTATTGATGTGTCATGAACAAATTTTAGCTGATTTGAATCTCAGCCAAAAGAATTTCTGAGACCTTAGAGATATCCAGAAAATGCAATTATTTTATAATTCATGAGCAGTTACATATGCAAATGCTTCTAGCCAAGTGAGTTTCAAAATGTTTGAATACTGACCACAAATGATTTTGTAGCATTTTCAGCAATTTAGTGAATTTTATGTATTACTTGTTACCATTGTAATCCTGGTTACAACAATCTATGTAGTCTATGAAATTCAAGATACAAAAGTCAGCAGAAAAAGCCATGGTTACAGATTTTTAGGCTAAGAAAAATGTATTTTGATGACTATCTTCACAAGAGTCAAACAGTTAAGCTAGAATACTAATCTAACTTGTTTTGTAAATTAAGAGTTGTTGAAAGAAAAATGGTGAAGGAATCTGTGGAAAGGTGTTCTCTTTTTGCACAAGATTGGCAATATGATGGATGTTTGAGTGGATCATCAGATATTGTTCCATCTATTTCCTGCTTCCAAGCTTTGAAAAAGGAGGACATTTTTGAATGATATGGAACTGATAGAAGTGTAGTGGGACAGTCATTTCAGTGGCCAAATATCATAATGGTATACTATACTAAGTGTGTTGAGCTGTGGGATAAATATGTGAAATAGCATGTATGTTTCATGACTTGAGGTCATTTCTCTCTTAGTTGGAACAAAGGACTTTTCAGCAACCCTGATATATGCAGTCGATACCAATCTAACCATCAAATCTTTCCTTATCAAATTTAATATTAAGATTTTATATATCCAACAATACATTGGAAGCTTTACAATAATAAAAAAGAATGAGAATATTAATCCAGGAATGTAACAAATTGAGTTATATTAAAATGTTTTATGTTTGCTAGTCATTACTTTGTCTCTTTTAATGTCATATTTTTGATTCTTGGATGATATATTTTCATGAATTTTGGTTGGCAAAACGGTTTAAAACAGTAATTCACTCTTATAGCTATTAAAAACAAAGTTTATGAAGAGGGGCTGAAAAGTTCTTAGCCTGATCCACTTCCCAAAATCAATATCCTAATGTTTGGTCATTGAAATACTGATTTTTAGGAAGTGAGTCAGCAGAGAACTTTTCAGCACCTCTTCTTAATGTAATAGATAAACCTAGCATATATTTCACTTCATCATATAAGACATTTAATAAACATTATTAACTAAGCTTTTCTTACTTTTAAAAAGAAATTTTAGAAAAAAATATTGCATACACATATCTTTGCAAACTGAAGAAACCCTTCAAGGGTCTATAAAATCTGATGAAATGTAACACTGCTGCAATATCTGAATTTCATTCACTTTTTTACTCTCTAACACATTTTAGCAATTATTTATTTTGATCAGTTTTTAATCTAATCATTTGCTTTTAAGTTAAATGTCAGTATCAAAATGAAAGAACAGTTAGAATCTTAATAATGATCTGAAGAATTCCTCATTTGAATAATATTATTATAAAGTTTTAGTATTTGCTAATAATAAATATCAAATGATTTTGGGTTTAAAATATAGTAAATTATGATGCTAATCTTGTAAAATTTTTCAAGACTAATATATATTTACCATTTTTAAAAAATGTAATTTCTGTTTCCTTGCAGTTGGTACACCTTATTATATGTCTCCTGAAAGAATCCATGAGAATGGATACAACTTCAAGTCTGACATTTGGTCTTTAGGCTGCTTGCTTTATGAGGCAAGTACATTTTATTTGGTCTCTTTTTAAACCATTATATTTACTAAAGCTTAAGATATCCTTTTTCTGTATTTTAATGTTGTACCTTTCAAATAGGATATTTTAGTACATATCCATTTTTTTCCTGCAAGTTTTATTATTTTAATTTCATTCTTTCACTTAAAAAATACATCAGCTAGATATATGAACAGCTGATGCCACATTGGCTTGTTACTTGCTAGTTGAATATGGCTTATCATAAAGAGATTGTTGATGGATAAGTATACTAGACTTAATCATAGAAGAAATCATTTGGAAAATTAACAGAATACATATCCTACTCCTTAGTACCATCAGACTCCTCTGTGGAGTATAGTCATAGCTACTGACATGGTTTCTATAACAAGTAGGCTTTTATGGGGTAAAGGTGCTAGCCCCACACCAAACTGGTTTCTCCTAGACTGGTTGCCAACCAAAGCTAGAAAGCCCAGTTTATCATACTATTTAACCTATAACTGGAAGAAGAAAAGAAAGTGTCATGCCTTTCCCAAGGGTATTTTCACAAAAGTGAATTTAACCAACTACGCAAGAATTTTAACTTGGTATGCAGATTACACTTTTCGTGCCAGTAGCTATTACACTATATGCACATGCATTGATTATACCTGAAGATATTTCAGAAAGTGCTATTAACAATTATTGAATAACAAAAAAAAATTGTGTGGTAGTTTTGTGCTAGAGCTTTGGAATGAACTGAAAATGTTGAGTTTTGTAATTCATTCTGACTTATAACAATAATAATTAACTCTTCAAAACAAATGAACCTAGTGAATCCCAAATTATAAACAATTTGCCATAAGTGTGAGTGAGAGAGATAATGTTTGTTTTTTTTTTTTTCCCCCCAAAAAATACTCATATATTCTGATATATTTATTTTATTTCAGATGGCAGCTTTGCAGTCCCCATTTTATGGTGACAAAATGAACCTCTATTCTCTCTGCAAAAAAATAGAACAGTGTGATTATCCACCCTTGCCCTCAGATAATTACTCACAAGAGGTAAATCTTTACTACTTTTATTTTATTTCTGTTTTTGCTAATATGTTACATTGATATTTTCCAGACATTCAGATGCCATAACTTTTCTGAATTTCTATAAATATATTTAGAAAAATAATGTTTAACAAAATACATTAATTGTTGATTCTTGTAATCCTTGGTCTTTATTTCATCATATTCACTTTTTCTTTTTTTTTTTTCTTTCTTTTTTTCTTTCAACTTCAAAATTGAAAAAGAAAATGATACAAGTTAAATTCTTTCCTCCACTTGTAGCATAACTTTTGCTCTCAAGATTCAATTTTCTGACTAGTTGTTTTAAGTTTTAAAAAATTGGTGTTGTATTTTCTCTTATTTAACCCATTAATGGGGATGGTTGGTGTGGTATAATCCATCTCCCCCATTAACGGATGTGTCCTGAATAGAAATATTCAGGAAAACTCTGCTTATTAAAGCTCTGGGTGGGATCCCCGTAGAGATAGGCCTAGCTAGGAGGCTCTGGAATGTATGGCTAGCAAGCACTACCAGGGTCAGGTAATTAGACATTAGTTAAGCAAGATGACATCCGAAGCAAGGAACAGAATTGCACAAGGAAGAGATCTGTTGCAGTTCTGGTCATTACATTCGAGAGGTCAAGACCCTGGAGGGGTGTACTCAGTGATTGACTGACGATATGTGTGAGGTGTTTCGGTGGCATTTCAAGAACTGGCTTATCAAGGAACCTAGTCTCTGTGACAGAATTTCACAGTTATTTGGTTAACTTTCCTCAGCTTTTACCAACTGAAGTGGCTATCTGTGAGATGGAGATTTAGCAGACTCTGAACGTTGTGACCTTGGTTTAGAGGAAACAGTTGTGCACACCTTCTACCATTGTTCCTGGGACTTTGTTGGCGAGTTGACGGCTCATATTACGCCTGAAAAGCTTGTGCTCATTGATTGCGCATATGCGATGTGACAATGTGTTGCTCTCGTATTCTGGGGTGAAATGGATGGTGTTTCTGTTGCTGCTAGCCACATCTCAAAATCTCCAATGGTGATCTGGACAATATGAAAGGAGGAAATCTTGGGATGTGAACGCTATTCTCAGTAGGATCTGGTCAGATTCTTTGACCATCAGCTCAGGTTGAAGATCAGATCTGATAAAAAGCATTTGCTATTAACAGATTTTAACGAAAGGTTGGTTACTGTGGTGAGCCTGGTTTGCATGAATGGGGCTAGCCTTGATTTTTTTCTTTACATCTCCCTAATTCACATTGGGGAAGTTTCCAGTAGAGCCCTTCCCCTGGTTAGGATAGACCTTTTTTGTGAACCTAGTTAATGAGTAACTGTTGTTCCTGGCTTCTTCTTCTTTGGTTATGATCCAAGCCGAGATTCCCAAACACCCCAGTTTGTTTTTAGCCCCCTTTTTTTATCTTGACTGGGTCAATTTGGCTTTCCCCATGTCCATATTTATTTTATCTTTTCCCTTTCCCTTAGTGAGGGAGCCTCTTGATTTTGTCTGAAGACAGAATACAGCAGTCTTTCTCATTTCTTTTGAGGGTAGGACAGGTCCTACTAACATTAATTATTTTTAGTTTGTGTGTTTTGTTATATTTTAGTCTGATTTCAGGTTCATTTCCTCCCCAATCATTGTTCATTATTGATAAATTTTTGTATATATATTTTTATATTCAAGAATTTTTATGTCTTTGGGTGTTTTTATAGGTCCCCCGAGAGTATGCGGTATTGTGGTATATGGAGGATTGAATGATGACGGACAAGATTTTATGGTGGATGTGTAAATTGTAATGAATGAATGGGTCATGAATCAGATTACCTAGGTATAAGATAGTTAGTAACAATCAGCCTCAACTGATTCCCCCTTTTTGGCCTTGTGCCACATTTGCTGTATTTTCAAGCGATAAATCTCAAGTTTATCAAAGCTCTGCTTGTCAGACTCTATGCTTTCAGGTGGAGAAGAATTCAGTCTACGGGCAGTCTCGTCTGGGGAGGTAGACAGCCACCTGACTATGTGCATGCAGAGAATTTTTGCCCAAGCATATGCAATTAATAAGACCAATATTAAAAACTAGCCTTGTGCGACATCCTGCCTTGTGGGGAGGACCTGGGTAAATACCAAGTTCTCAAAGGAGTCAGGGTTCTTCACTGCCTGCCTCTGCTTGTCAACCTTTCTGCCTCTGGCAAAGAGGAACCCAGACAAGGCTATACTGAAGGACAGTTTTGTCTGGGGAGGTAGACAAACCTGACCCTGTACACACAGGGTCTGTGGGGAATTTTTGCACAAGCCTACAAACTCGGAAAGACCCATGTAAAACTGGCCTTGTGCCACATCCTACTCTGTGGGGAGCTCTGGTAAATACCAAGTTTATTAAAGCTTACTGATAAGCTATACATATTGTCTTAAATAATTCTACTACAGTAGACATTAATGGATTATAAGTAGAAACCTATAATTAATACTGGATTTTATTATGAGCATGAAAGTGTTAAGTGTTTTAGAACCTGTTTAAAGTATAGCTCTTTAAATTTACATCAGGTTAGAATTAAAATTCTAAAGTATTTGTTGTTTATATGTTAATTTCTTTTAAAACTAAGGTAAACAAATAATTTCTAAGAAATTAATGGCTCTTCTATTTAAGACTTGAACATTTTTTTTTTTTTTTTTTTTTTTTTTTTGATCATTTCATCCCAAGTAAGGTGATAATGCCACTGAAACACAAGGAATTAATGGGAGGAAAAGAGAATGAGATGTCTTTAGCGAGAACAAAAGACAATAAAAGAACAGAATTCAGGAGATTGTGATTGACATTGCATTTAAATTTTTTAAAATTATATATAGCAGGGATGTAAGAAATCCAAAGAGAGCTGCAAAGGTGAGAAATGCAAAAAAAAATAAAAAAATAGGAGTTATTAGAATAGAACTTATTATTAGATTTAGTTAATTCAACAGTAAAATGATGAGACTTAGTTGCCAATCTAGTAGTGTGCTTAAATTCATGTGGTTATGCTAGCAAAGGAAAAAGCTCATAAGAATAACTGCCATGAAAATATTTATGGAAAAGAAGCCACATCATTGTAATGGGAAAGTGACTGAAGTTGATATGCCAAGCCTGGAACAATAGCATTATAGACCCGTCTTTAGATTTTGTCATGAATCTCTAAATGAATAGCAGGAGCATCAGACCAGATATGGCAAGAGTATTCAATGCACAGATGAATGGTAGATTTATAAATGTGTAAGATGGATTCTGATGTGAAAAATTGTCTGGCACAACACAGTAAACCAATCTTTTTAGCAAAAAGAGCCAACAATTGATTCAATATAATCACTTCATTTCATGTTGGTGGAAAACGGGAGACCAAGAAAGTGCAATGAGTTTCTTTCCTAGAGGTTAGGATCAGCTATGCTGATGGAAGACAAAAAAGCTTCTCTATGGTGATTATAAGATAGCAGATTCATTTTGGTGGCATATAAATTTACAAGCTATTCCTTGCCACAGTTAACAACTGATTAGAGGTTATTTTCAAAAGCAGCTGCCAATTTTACTGTAAAGTTCTTTTTATATTCATTACTTTTAATCTTGGATTGTTTCTTTATGCAATTCTTCATCTTTATTTTTTTGGATAAAAGGTTGCTCAAAGTTGCTTAGATTAACTGTGAAAAATCTGTTGCTTTTTAATCTTTGTAAAATCAGCATTATTTCAGTGACTTTTGATTATATAAATTTCTGTGAATCTTCTGAATTCTTAAACTGTCAAATACTGCTTAAAAGAGCCGCTAAATAAGACAAACCTTAAAAAATAAATTGTCAAGTTTAAATTGCTTGGAGTCAAACCAAATAAAAGAACTAATGAGGATGAACTTGCTACTGCCTTTTGATCAAGTAAAAACTGGAGAAGGTCTTTTAGAGTATAATTACTATTACCACTACAGCATCGTGTCTATATTTACTGCATCACAATAGATAACTGTTAATGCTAATTAGTATTCCTTTTGAAATGAAATTATTATTCTCATCTCTTTTCAGCTGCGTAATCTTGTAGAGACCTGTATCAACCCAAACCCTGAACAACGACCAGATATCAATTATGTGTATAATGTTGCTAAACAAATGCATGCACTCAATACTGAATCTTTGCAACAACAACAGTTATTACAACAGCAACAACTTCCTGTGCAACAGCAACAACTCCAACAACAACAATATCAGCAACAGCAACAACAACAACAAATGTCTTTGAGTCGGCCATGTTGAATCAAAAAGAATCTATCATTGGCACATACACATCAGCGATTTTACAATCTAATTATTGTGCATTCCATTGACTACAAAATTTAGGTACTTTTAATAGACGATATATTTTTCATTTTAATATTTTTATCTCTTTTAATAGACACTTTTCATATTTTAATATTGTTTTTGTTTCTCATGAGTTAAAATTTGTTCTTATTTTTAAAAGATTTTAATTATTTTTTTTTTTTTACTTCTTATCTATGTAGGAATATTTTTGTTAAATGTATTCTTTTTTATGTAGCTCTTATTCTTTTAATAATTTTTAACTCCATTGATTACCTTTTTGTGATTACTTAAAAGCAATGCTCCCTACTGCTGTTTGGTATAAGCTTTTCAGTCTAGTCATGTTCCACATTAATTTGTGACTTATACATTATTTTCACTTGTATCAGTATTCACAATTGTCTTTTATTTTTTCTGCTGTCAAAGTTTAATTGACTAATATGTTGCAAATATTCAGACTCTTACATATCATAAAAATTGCAGTCATTGTTAACTACTAACCCAGGGGACCAGAATAATGATTAATAAAATGAATATCTTTACCGTAGGAATCATTCATTTTTCTGCTTTGAATTGTCACTTTCAGCATAATCTTCACTAGGAAAAAGTGAAATTAGATAGTTTAAAATTATCAATTATTTTGTAATTCTCCTGGATGTATAATTATGCATGAAAGCAATAGTAAAAACTTATTAATAGAATATCAGTATATGGTATTTAGTTAATTTAGTTTCCTGACTGATAATTCTGGAATTGAAAAGAAATTTTCCTTTATATATGAGGAAGACAAAAACAAGATTACTTAAGTAATAACAATAATAATGGCAGAATAATGAATAAGTATAATCTTGGTTAGTTTCTTATTGTTTTGTTTTTTATTTAATTCACTTTTGGCAGTGCATTTATATAGTTGTAAAATCTGTGATAATTCATGAGATATGGATGGTCGACTAATCTTAAATTTTATACAACCATAATTTTGTATGTGAAGTCACAAAAATAAAATTTTGCTAAGTTCTCCTATTTTGAGCTCAAATCTATATTTTTGAATGTGACCTAAATCCATTGCTCAGCTGCTGCTTTTAAGAATTTTATTTTTCAGTATTTTAAGTGAGATGTAATATTGTTCTTGTCAGAATGTTTTACTTTTTATTCTCATTACTACTGCAAAATTTTAGTGAATATGTTTCTATTCCTCTTTAGATGCTGTTTATAAATATTGATACACAGTTTATTTTACCAAAGAATTTCAGCTGATACCTTGCAGATTTTTAAATGGAACATAGAACTGCATAAAATATTTTACTTATGTCTGACTGAACTTTTGCTCCCATCCACTGTTTTTCACAGAATTTTAGTTTTTTTTATTCTCAAACTTTTCAATTTAGACACAATTCTTTCTTGTATTCTTTTTCTTTGATCTTTTGCTCTGTAATATTGAAATACTAATTGGTTATGACAGGATAAAAATATAAACTATTACTTGGGTTTTATTTTCCAAATCTTAGCTTAACATTCTCTCATCTTGGAAGTGATGTCCTTCCTCTTTTTCTCTTTTGTCTGCAAACTTTATTAGATATTTTAAACACTGGAAATAAAACACTTTTAATGGTTTTTTATATGTAATAGCAATATTTTTCAAATACTATAAGGATTAAATTTAATAAACAGTTCAAGTGTGTGAGGATTTCTTGGATTCAGCCTCATTAACTGTTTCTATCTACAAATGATCAGTCCCTGATATTGAGCACTCTCACTCCATAAATATGGCACATTTTAAATATATATATATATATATATATATATATATATATATAATTTCCAAACAAGTATTACTATTAGTATAATTTTAGCTCTAGGTCACCCTATCAAGCACTTTTTTTAAGTCAACTGTCATGGAGCAAGTAGATATTGGTTATTCTTTTAAAAATATCCCTTTACTCCATAGGCATTTATATGAATTAACATTACTGAAAAAGATAGAATTCTTCATTGCTAGTATGAGATGGAAAGCCCACTTCTTCTTTAATAATAACCAGAATAGTCACCAAGAAATCTCCCAGACCTATGGATTTAAAACCTCTGCCCACTCGCCCTATATTAAGGAGTTAGATAACTTCAAATCCGACTTGATTGGATTAGTTAAAATGATAAAATATAGAAACTTCAGTAACACCATACAACAACAAATCAGTAGGGACTTGAATAAGATTAAGAAAAGCAAAACAGTATTTGTTAAGGCAGATAAATCTAGTTTTCTATATAAGATAAGCCCCAGTAAATATAATAGTATACTACATAAGGAAGTGATTAAACACTACAAGAACCTAGAATTTGAACTCAATAAGGAAGCTAGTATACTAGTTAGTAAATTTAATCTAGAGAATAGAATAGAGAAAATTAATATTAAAAATTGTTTTATAACATTAAAAGACCACAAAAATGATTTCTATAATAATCTCAAATGTCAGTTAATTAACCCAACTAAAACACAAATGGGTAAAATCAGTAAAATAATATTGCAAGATATATGTGAAACACTAAGAGCAGTTGTAAACATTAACCAATGGCGCTCTAGTCATGATTGTATAGAATGGTTTAATAATTATGACAAAAACAGCAAGTGTTCGTTTGTGAAATATAAAAGAATTTTACCCATCTATTACAGAAAAAATGGTTAATGAAGCTTTAGAGCAGGCTAAGGAGTACATTTCACTATCCAATGATAAAATTAACGATGTATTATGGATTAAAAAAGGAGACTGCGGCAATTTTGACAACCCCATGGGGGCATATGATGGCGCCGAGGTATGTGAATTAGTAGGGTGCCTCCTATTAAATAATATGAATAAATATATTGACTCTAGTAACCATGGTCTATACAGATGATAGTTTAATTATAATAGATAAATGTACCCACAGAAAAAGTGACATAATCCATTAAAAATTACATTGGATGTTTAAAAAATTCGGATTCAAATTAGAAATAAAAAATAATTTAAAAGTCACTGACTATTTAGACATTACTCTTGACCTATGTAATGGCACAATTTCCCCATTTAAGAAAAGCAACTAACAGCCACATTATATTGACGTAGGTTCTAACCACCCTAGACAGGTTTTAAAACATATACTTAACGAAATTAGTTATAGATTGTCCACTAATTCATCTAGTGATAATATCTTTAATAAAAATAAACAAGATTATGAAAAAGGCCTTAAAAAATAGTGGACACAAAAGCAAATTAATATATGTTGATACTCATAATTCCCCTAACATGCAAGGCAAACACAAAAATAGAGCCAGGAAGATATTATGGTTTAAATCCCCCCCCCCCCCCGTATATATAATTTAGCAGTTAAAACTAAAATAGGAAAAATGTTTTTCAAATTACTAAAAAAGAATCCTCCCCGACAAATGTATTGTACAAAATTTTCAATAAAAACTATGTTAAATTAAGTTATAGTTGTATGCCAAATATGACTAACTTAATTAATAAACATAACAGGAAAAAAAATAGACAAAGCACATGCCAACCCTCCTAAATGTAACTGTAGAAATAAGGACACCTGCTCACTTAAGGGCAGGTGCCAACAGGAGTGTGTGGTTTACAAAGTCGAAATAAACAAAAATAAACCAAATAATATTGACAAGAACCCCAAATTTTACATAGGATCCACCCAAGATAACTTCAAAAAACATTACTACAATCATTTAAGTAGCTTTAATCATGAAAATTACAAACATAGTACCAGCCTGTCTACATACATATGGAATATAAAACAAGAAGATGGTAATGACCCCTTTTTAAAATAGGAAATATTAAAAAAATGCCATAAATATAAAGTAGGGAACAAATTTTGTTTGTTATGTATGGAGGAAAAATTAGCAATTGCCACCAATAATGAACTTAATAATTTATTAAATCAAAGATCTGAGATTCTAAATAGATGTAGGCATAGGAAATCCTGATTATTGGAATAGAGGCTTTGGGTTTTTTTTTTTTTTTTTTTGTCTTCTGTCATGTGGTTTTATGCTTATTAGTTCTTAATGGTTTTATCAATAAATACTGTTTCATCATTTCCTTTTTAGCCAGCTTACCCTGAAGATCCGTTTAGGTGAAACCTAGATAGCTTTTCCTGGCTTTTTAAGATTTATTTTAGTTATTCCCACTCTACTTATTGTATTGAGCACTCTACATTTTAGTCTTACTACTTGCTTGTTTTTTTTTTTCTTTGGATTAAAGACTTAAGGCACTGGACGATTTGTTTCGCCCTGTTCTGATGATTTTACTCCTTTTTTTTTTTTTTTTTTCCCCCAATTCTTTACTTGGGTACTAATTTGTTTTGACATATCTACAAGTTGTGCTATCCAAGGTTTTTTTCCAAATGAGTATTTGAGTATTACTATTAGTGTGTGTGTGTGTGTGTATATATATATATATATATATATATATATATAATGTGTGTTCATATACAGACTCGGTTTTTCATTACTGGGCCCAGTTTTTACTTAAAGTAAAAGTGCATCATATAATTAAGGCTGTTAAAGTGTTTACGCATTTTTGAGGGAATACTATGTCTTTCAGAAACTTTCTTGATAGGTTTTCATTATTTTCAAAATCTTTTAAAATGCTTTCTGAATACAGTTTTATTATTTTTTTACTAAATTCATTGACTCCTTATCATTTTTATTTTCAGTTCTTCTGCTTTTAATATTTAAAAGATTCAAAT